ATCTCAAGGGGGCCATTTCTCTCGTGCTGTGGGCTCCACAGGAGTCCAGGGGCTTGGGGAACTGGGGGGCTCTTGAGTAGCCCCACTGTCTTCCAAAATGCATAAATGCATTAACCCCCTCCCCTAACCCCATGCTGGGGCAGGTCCCCAGTGTGCAAGCTCGGTGTTCATGGTGATGGAGGAAGGAGTGTATTCTGGAGTGTTTTTATCTTTTTAAAGATGTAGCAAATTTGAGGGTGGCAGTAAGCCATAAGCCCTCTTCACCCCACTTCTCCCTTTCCCAATGCTGTGAATAATAATCCCCTAATGTCCCATCCCCATTTTTCTAGACCCCTGAGGTTCTGGTGACAGGAGCCTCCCCTTGAGGGTCAACCCTGGTGCTCAAATTACCTTTGAAAAGCAAGTAGCCAAAGTCATTGCCACCCCCCCCAAAGCCATTGGGCTCTATTTATGACGACTTTATTTATTCTAATAGATTTTATAGTATTTATATATATTGGGTCGTCTGCTTCCCTTGTATTCTTCCTCCTTTTTTAATATTGGAAACGATGGAGTAATTATTATAAGTATGCTATAATATATTAATATATATTAAAATTTATTTTTGTGGGTTTTTTTGAATTTTTAAATAAAAGGCATATGTGTGTGAACTCGAATCCTGGCTTTTCTGCGGTCTAGAGGCAGTGACTTGGGTGGATGGTGTTGCCTTGTTTCCAAGCGGGTAGAGTTGATCTGTAGCTCCTCCAAACCTTTCCGAGCAGAGTCGCCCGGGGGCGCTTACCTGGCAGGAAGTGACGTCACCTGGCTCTGCCGTTTACCTGAGAGGGCGGGACCAGGTGAAGTCACTCGGTAAGAACCGGGAGAGGCAGTTGGAGGCGCGGGGGCAGTGGCTCGTGTCTTGTCCGGCTCTTTGACCCAGCCCTCGGTGGGGCGCGGGCGGAACGAGTTGTTTCCGTCCCCGCGGGCCGAGTGGGGAGGGTGGGGCGGTGTAGGGAGGACGGAATGTGCTGGGGCGCTGGCCCTGGGCGGGCGGGGGCGAGTCAGAGCGGCGGAGGCGGGTCAGCCGGGAAGTCCTGACGTTCTGAGGGCCCACCACCAAGTCTTCCAGGACCTGAGGAGCTGGGGGACTCAGACACTCGCAATATTGGGCGAGGCAGCTTTAAAAAGTCTCAGGATTCTGGAATCGCAGCTTTTGATGAAAGAGGGGCACATAGTACACCTGACAAACTCAGGGGAGGCCTGCGTGACAAGCCTTATAAACTCAGAAACCTAAAGTAACCACATAGGATATGTATGGTCTTACAGTTTTCTAGCTACCATATGTATGGTCCACCAATTTTCATGATGGATATGTCTCGACTAAGGTCAATCTTTGCCTTAACCTGCCCATTGTCTTTTTGCATCTACAATAATGTCAGAGTAATCCCCCTTTTCCGGACACCCTCAGGGCACAATCTCCCACCAAAGCACTAGACCATAAAACCCCTCATCGATACGTTATTCTGCTGCATACCATCTCTATGTACTGTAAATGTTCATTAGTAATTATTCTGTACCCACCAATGTAAAAAGTATTTGTTTCTTCACCTTACTTTTGGTCCACTGTCAAGACATTTCCAGGCTTTGCTTTCTTTTGCCTCCCAATGGACTTTATATAACGCTTTTACGCCGCCTCCTTTGTACTGTATAAAGTAAGGTGCTAAGCTGTCATTCTAGGAAGCACTTTCCCAATCAGTTGAGATTTTGTTTTCTGGCAATTTTCGTTTACCTCAACTCAACTAAAAAATTCTTACAGGTTTGGACGTTTCTTAGGTGGATGTAACATTTTGGAATCTCTGAGCTAGTCTCCCTGCTCTAAGAATTCTAGGTCCTGGTGTCTCAGCGCGTTAGGTGAAGGGCAGAGTTGTAGCTTCTGCCTTTCCGGGACCCTAGACCTCTAAAAGTACCCCATTTCGGTCTGTCGGGAGTTGAGAAGTTCAGGCTTGCGGGATATCGGCCTTTCCGCCGAGGAAGCGGGAGGCCCGGGTGTGTGGGTCACAAGCCCGTGGGGGCGGGGCCCGGACAGCTGTGTCCTCGGACCAAAGAAGGCAAGAGGCGGCCAGACCCACCCTAGGGCGGGGAGCCCGGAAACAGCTTCGCGTCAGTGCCCGCGCCCCGCCCCCTTCCACCCCGGCCTCTTCGCCGTCGACCCCTCTTCCTCCTTTACCCACACTTTTTCCTCTCCCCTCCCCCGACTTCCCTGTGCTCTCATCTCCACACCCTCACCCCTCCCCTCCCTCTCCGTTCTACCTCTTTACCCGCCTGCTCGACCTCTCCCCTCCCTGCGCGTCTTCACTCACCCTCGCCAATCCTCCCCTCTTCCCCGGTACTTCCCTGGTCTTCTCCCTTCAATATCTTTTCCTTCCAGCCTTCCAATCTCTTGTCCTTTACCCCCTCTTTTCTTTCCTTCCAGTACCCCTCATCCTCCCCCTTTCTCCCGCCCCTACCCTCTCCACTCTTTCCCTCCCTCCGGCCCTCATTCTGCGTTCTCCCCTCGGCTCCACCTTCCCTTCCCACCTCTCTGCTCCCTCTGCCCTCCTCCAACCCAGAGCTAGCATTCACCCTCTCCTCCTCCCCTTTAGCTCCTTCCTCTTCTTCTTTCCCACCTCCCCTGCCGGCCCTCTCACCTCTGCTTTGCCCTCCCCCCTTGCCCAGGGGCAGGCCTTTTGATCTTTTCCTGGAAACTGCCCCTAATGTGGGAAAGGGCTGTGGTCTCCAAACAGGAAAAGAGGGCTGGGAATGATAGAAACCTAAAGACACTGGGGAGGCCAAGAGGAAGAGCAAACCTTGCAGAGACATTTACAGATATTGAAAGAACAAGAAACAGACATCTCTGGTCCTTCTCTTACCAAAAACACATTCTGCCCCTTCTCAAAAAAAAAAAAAAAAATCATTTAAAACATGACACCCATTACAAGCTACAAATGCCAAACACCTGGGAGTCCCCTTGAATTGTCTGTCAAACCCACACCCAAGTCCAACAGCAATCCTCTTTGATTCACTTCCTCCTCTGGCCTTTACTCTGGTTCTATCTCCATCATCTCTAGCCTGGACCTCTGCCCTCACTCTCTCTCCACTGCCCCACTAGACAACCAAAGGGAACCTGTCATGACACCTGAGTCAAATCACACAAAAGCCAAAGTCCTAAATTCTTACCAGTTTACATGGACTGACTCTCTTTGGTCAGTCTTGCTGTAGCCACACTGTCTTCCTAACCGCTCCACCAATAAGTATATCTGACATGCTTCAGCTGCAGGGCCTTAGTGCTGGCTGTGGCCCTCTGCCTGGAATACTCCCCCAGGTGCCCCAGTCACTCACTCCCCTCTCTCAGTTCTCTGCTCAAATGTCTCCTCAGTGAGAGGTCCCTGACTACTCTTATTTCAACCCACACCCCACCTCCCATTCCACCATCCTCCTTACCTTGCTGTACTTTTTCCATGACATTTATCACCACCTAACGTATGAAATATACTTAGTTCCTACGTGTATAGAAATCTGTCTCCCCCACTAGAATGTCAAGTCCTTAGGGAAAGAGACTTTGTCTTGTGCATTGCAATAGTATCACTCAACCCTAAATAGCAGTTAGTCATGGATGTTCAGTATTTGTTGAAAAACATATATTGATTCAGAAATGGGGAGGGAAAGAGAGTTAAAATTCCAAAACACACTAGAAAAAAATTAGTAACTACTTGAGGTAACTAGTGTTAACTAAATTTATTGTGATAATCATTTCACATTTTATACATAAATTATGTTGCACACCTTGGACTGATACCGTACAGCATTATATGGCAATTATATCTCAGTGAAACTGGGAAAAAATCGAAGACAAAGAAGGAGGCAATGCCATAAACATGGTTTGCAGAGGATCCACAGCCTGACACATCTGCACATGCCTGTTTTTAAAAAGTATAATCTGCCTGGCTGGTGTAGCTCAGTGGATTGAGTGTGGGCTTTGAACCAAAGCATCGCAAGTTTGATTCTCAGCCAGGGCACATGCTTGGGTTGCAGGCCACAGCCCCCAGCAACTGCACATTGATGTTTCTCTCTCTCTCTCTCCCCCTCCCTTCCCTCTCTAAAAAATAAATAAAGTCTTTTTAAAAATCTCAAAAAAGAACAATTGTAAAAAAAAGATGTTTAAGTGCTAAAAAATAAATAAAAATTAAAAAGTATAATCTTTATTATATTTTTCCATTACCATTTAGTCCCCTTATACACCCCCCTCCCAGCAATCACCACGCTGTTGTCCATATCCATGAGTCCTCACTCTGGTTTGCTCAATCTCTCCACCCCCCAACCTCCCCCCCACTAGCTGTCACCTGTTCTCCATCTCTGAGTCTGTCTCTGTTTTTCTTGTTAGTTGAGTTTGTTCGTTCGATTCCACATATGAGTGAAATCATATGGTAGTTAGACAAATATGTCTTTCTCTGCACAAGTCTTAAACTGAGATTTACAAGTCCAATGAAATGTGCAGGCATCTAAGAGGCAATTCCGCCCTCTGGCGGCCAAGATTAAAACAACACCTCCTCCACTATACACACTTCTTAACCAATGCTCGCCAGAATCCCGGGAGTCTTTTCAGCCCAAAAGTGTCGGAAATCGAAATGTTCGTCCCTTTAAATAGTGTATATTTTCGGTTAATCTGTAAAACGTCTAAATTTATAGAGACTGATGAGAGAAAACTGAAGCTGCTCCAGGTGAGGATCGAACTCACAACCTCGGCATTGCTTCGCTACGCACTGTCTTATAAGTACCGCGCGCTAACCGATTGCGCCACTGGAGCCCCGGCCGCACCCCTTCGTCGTGGGGTCCTTCAGTTGTTTTTGGCCACGTGACCTCCCCGACAGCTCCGTTTTGCATTGTATATGCAAATTGAAATATGTTGGTTGGCCAATAGGAGAAAGGAGTGACCAGTTCCGGATTCTCACGCCTTGAAGGCCTTTGCTGAAAAAGGGAAACGTCTGCGAGGCCTTTGGAATGTGGGAGTATAACCTGCCTGGGACTCGCCTTCTCATGAATATTCAGAATCCAAAGATGAGGTTTTAACTCTTTTCTCGCTGGCCGGCCGGAAGGCGGCCCCTCCCCCCCGCGGGCGGGAACAGGATGTGAGCCCAGGCGCCTAGGGGGAGGGTAAGCCCCAGTCAACCGCCCCCAGTCTCACAGCTGGGACCAGACTCACCCACCACAGAAGTGGCACTGGCACCGCAGCCGCTTTAGCCGGGTGCCACCCGTCCTGCAGCCTTAGGGGTCCAGAGTCACGGACTCCGGCTTTCCGAGTCTCTGCACCACGTCCTGAGAGACCCCGAAGCACAGGCTTCCGCGTGCAGGTCAGAGGACCCCACATACCCTGGTTCCCAGCGCCTTCTCCTGGAGGAACCAGGAGTCCGGGACATCAGCCCCGAGCGACCCTGGAGGGCGAGCTCTTTGTACCCCGGTTTGGAGAATTTAGGATCCCCTACCAGAGATACCATCCAGGAGTTCCCAGGAGAAACTTGTATTATGGGCGTCTAGCACCCTAGCAAGTCTGTTTGGGGCAGAAGAGCCCACTACTTCAAAGGGACCCAGGAATTTGGGACTCCCGTGCACTCCCGCCTGAAGGTGGTTTAATTCCTGCTCTTAGAGTTTGGGAAACTCAGGAATCCGGGCCGCCTACGGCTATATCTACAAGTCTCAGGATTTGGGTCCCCAGCATCCCCATCTGAGACTCAAGAGTCAGGCTTCCAGCACCCTGCATTTAGAGAACCAAGAAATTCGGACTGCTGCACCCCATTTTCCAAGAGACCTCGGGTTCTGGGTCCGGGAGCCTTTCCGCCCCTGACTTTCAAGAGACCCAGGAACGCAGGAGCTGGCTCTGCGCCTCCCCGGAAACCATGCTAAGGGTCGAATAGTAGCTGGGTTGCCTCGGCTCGGGGCTGGAGACTCCCGGAGAGGTGAGGAGGGAGGCGAGAGGCCCGACCAGCTGGGGGAGGGGGCAGCGCCGCCAACGCTAAACAATGAGGGGGCGTGCCGGCGGGGGGCGAGCGGAGGCGCTGGCGGGAGTTCGGAGCTGGCGGAGATAGGAAGGCGCTGGGGTCAGAAAGCCGGTCGCAGAGGGACTGGCTGCAGGGAGATCGAGGGCTCAGGGCCAGCGCCCCACCTCACAGCTCTCGGTGGGGGAGGGAGCCGTCTGCAGGACCCCGGCATCCGGTCCCCCAGCCTCCTCCGCCCTCCCCTGGGACCCCGCGGCCTCCCGCCCACGGCTTTTCCCAGCCCTGCTACTAGCCTTCGGCTCCAGCCGGAGCCCAACCGTTCCCAGGATCCCTGAGCCTCCAGCCCCAGACTGACCAGACTCTTGGTTTCAGCGGCTCTTGCTGTCTTCACTCTTCTTTGTCTCAATCTTTCCTTTTTTTTTCTATATTATCTCTTCTTGCCCCATCCTTCTATCACTTTGCCTCTGTCTACCCCATGAGGGGCCTCTCCCTGGATTTAGACCACAACCCTAGTTCTCAGCCCCCAATCTGTGAGTGTGGGCGGCAGGGAGGCCTGCGGGTCCTGATAACCAAGAAGGGGGTCTTTCTGCAGAAGCCGCTGAGCCACTCAGCCATGCCAGAGGGAGCCCGTGGACTGAGCCTGTCCAAACCCAGCACTCGCCTTGGCCCCTGCCGCAGAGGTGAAGTGTGTGACTGTGCAACTGTGTGTGAGACTCAGACAGGTGAGCACTTGAGGAGGGGCGGAGCCTGCTGGACATTCATGCCTTTATTCAAGACACTGTGCAGCCTTCCGTGGCTGGCCTGGTGCCGGGTTATGCTGGCAGCATAGGATGACCAAGACAGTCCCAGGCCTGCCTGCATAGAGCTGCAAGTCGGGTGGGGGAGGTGGGCCCATCCCTAGACAGTGAGAGTTCAGAGGGACATCCCAGGGCGGAGTAGTCAGAACTGGGATTGAGAAAGCTTTGGGGGGCTGTGGGAGCCTAGTCAGAGAGGTCAGGGGAGGCTTCCTGGAGAAGGGAACATCTAAACTGAGAACAGAGCACTGATCCGTGCTGCTCAGTTTGTCGGAGTGTGGTCTGGTAACTGAAGGGCTGTGGGTTCAATCCCTGAACTGGGTGGGTAGGATCCCCAGGTCCAGGCGCTTACCCGAGGCAACCAATCGATGTTTCTCTTTCTTTTCCCTCCTCTCTCTCTAAAAAGCAATAAAAAAATTTTCCTCAGACAAAAATTTAAAAAAGAAATTAAGAAATAGATATAAATAACTTGAGGCTAGAAAGAAGAGGCATGAATTGGGAAAGGCAGGGAAGAGTATTCCACACAATGAGACCAGTATGTGTAAAGGCCAAGAGGTAAGAAGAGGCTGCTTATTTAAGTAGCTGAAAGAAGCTGAGTGTGACTGGAGTCTGGAGTATAAAAAGTGGCCTGGCTGTGGGAAGAGCGCATACTGGAAAGGTCTCTAATAACTACCTTGCAGAGTCTTTCGACTTGAGGAGTTTGGACTTTATCCTGAGGACATGAAGGGGTTATACTCATGAGAGTAACCAAGTCAGACAGGCAAATTAATAAAGATATCCTAGGCTGATAAGTGGATATGGATTAGAGAAGCAGAGGCAGAGAGGACACTGATGGGAGAGAACGGGACTGGACCAAGGCAGCACAGTAGGAAGAGGAGAAGGGAGCCTTGGGAAAGATATTGACTAAGTGTGGGTGAGTATGGGGACTGAAAGCACTCACTTTACTCAGTTGGGGAGACTCCCTGACCTCCTACTCCACATCCCCAGCAGTTTCTGCAACCCCTGCCATGGCCTCCCCGCGAGGTTCTGGGAGCTCCACATCCCTGAGCACAGTGGGCTCTGAGGGGGACCTGGCCCCGGGGCCCACCCCTGCCTGCTCAGCCTCCAGGCCAGAGCCCCTTCCAGGACCCCCCATTCGCCTGCATCTGTCGCCTGTGGGATCCCCTGGTTCAGTGAAACCCTCAAGGCTGGAGCGTGTGGCCCGTGAGATTGTGGAGACAGAGCGGGCCTATGTCCGAGACCTCCGCAGCATTGTAGAGGTGAGGCAAGAGGACACCTGAGCACAGTGGGGACCTGGGCCAGTTCCTCTGCCCCCGTAACCCCAGTCATCCCCACAGGACTACCTGGGCCCCCTGCTGGATGGCAGGGTCCTGGGGCTGAGTACGGAGCAGGTGGGCACACTGTTTGCAAACATCGAGGACATCTACGAGTTCAGCAGGTCAGGCGTGGGTGAGATGAGCAGGGGTCCTGGCTGGTGGACCAGGGGAGGAGGGCTAGGTCCTAACCCAAAGCTTGGAACCCCACAGGGCTTGGTCCAGGCTCATCCATGGGGTGTCGAGACATTAGGCAGGGATCATGATGGGGAGGAAGGACCCAGGGTGGTGGAGGGGTGAAGGGACAGCCTGAGGATCTGGGTGAGGTCCAAGTCCAAATAAGGACACAGGGCCAGGCATCGGGATGGAGCTCAACACTGCCAGGCTTGGGAGCACGATGAATCCAAGGCTCAGGTGGGGCCTGAATCTCATGACAGTGTGAGCATGTGTGTCCTAGGGACCCCTCAGTCCTAGATAAACCAGGATGGTTGGTCCCCAAAGAGGAGGACGCTGGACTCCCAAGAATCAGGACACTTGAGTATCTTGGCAAGATTGTGAGATTATTGCAGGAGGTCCGAGAGTCAGGACAAGATCTCAGGATTGCAACAAGAGCTTAAGATCGTCACACTGAAGGTTATGACACTGTATCCCTGGGTCATGACATGAGACATCCAGGCCCAGGCCAGCTATGACAAGATTTCAGGCTGAGGAATGTGACCAATGCAGCCCAAGGAAGTCTGAGCATGTTGTAATGCTCCGTGTAGGGATTAGTGGACTCTTCCTCAGAACATGGCATCCCCTAGAGGGACCCTGGCGGCCACCGAGCCCCCACCCAGCCTCCCGAGGCCTCCCCTGGGGGCACTGTGGGGCAGGGCAGTCCCTCACCCTTTCCTTTCCCTACAGCGAGCTCTTGGAGGAGCTGGAAGGCAGCAGCAGTGCAGGGGGCATTGCGGAGTGCTTCGTGCAGAGGGTGAGTCGGGGCCAGCGCTCAATCTGGGCTGGCCCCTGGGTAAGTGGGGAGCAGGCCTGTGCAAACAGGAGTCGTGGAGAGTCTGGGGTCTCCCTGACTCCCCTGTCACCCACAGAGCGAGGATTTTGACATCTACACATTGTACTGCATGAACTACCCAAGGTGAGGGGCCCCAGGTCGTGCCCTTGAGCTGATGTACCACCCAACCTCCCTCTGTCCAACTCATCCAGCTCCAGCCTCTGCTAGACGGTGACAGTAACTGAACTCCCTAATCTGCCCCCAACCCCTGCCAGCCTCCAACCCCTCCTAACCCTGCCCACCAGAACTGCCAGCCCCTCTGACCTGTGCTGTGCCCCCAGCTCCCTGGCCCTGCTCCGGGAGCTCTCGCTGTCTCCGCCAGCAGCCCTTTGGCTTCAGGAGCGCCAGGCCCAGCTCCACCACTCGCTGCCCCTGCAGAGTTTCCTGCTGAAACCTGTTCAGCGCATCCTCAAGTACCACCTGTTGCTACAGGTTCGCCGTGGCCCTTGGGGGGTTGCTTGGTGAGGGGCCAAGTCCTGCCCATGGACCACCTGGTGGTACATCTTCAGGGTGAACCAGGACAAGCTGGGCAAGGCCTGGGGAGGTGTGCAGTTCCTACACGCTGGGTCAGTGCTTGCGGTGGGTCTTGTTGGCAGTGGGGTCTGGCATCAGCTGATTCCATTTTCTCTTCTTGTTTGTCTTTCTTTGTCCCTGGGTCTCCCATTTCTGCCTCTACCTTTCTATTTCTCTCTGTCTCCTATCATTATCACTCCTTCTCTGTTTCTCTTTCCCTCCCTGGGTGCCCGGTTGCTGCCTGGCAGGAGCTAGGCAAGCACTGGGCAGAGGGCCCGGACACTGGGGGCCGTGAGATGGTGGAGGAGGCCATTGTGTCCATGACAGCGGTTGCCTGGTACATCAATGACATGAAGCGCAAGCAGGAGCATGCTGCACGCCTCCAGGTGCCTCCGGGGTGGGCTGGGTGGGAGGAATGGGCATGTGGACCATGGAAGGGGGTGGTCAGTACTTTAAAGGTAACCTCAGAGGGTGTGATTAGGCAGCACGGCCTGGTTGTTAACTACCTACCTTGTGTTGGCATGTGTTTGCTGCCCATCGGTGCGTTTCTGTGTCCTGTGCACCTGGTGGGATCCCGGCAGGAAGTGCAGAGGCGGTTAGGCGGCTGGACCGGCCCGGAGCTCAGTGCTTTTGGGGAGCTGGTGCTGGAAGGCTCATTCCGAGGTGGTGGAGGGGGCGGTCCCCGACTTCGAGGGGGTGAGCGGCTGCTCTTTCTCTTCTCACGGATGCTGCTTGTGGCCAAGCGCCGGGGGCCGGAATACACCTACAAGGGTCACATCTTTGTGAGTTCAGGGATGGGGGTGGGGCTGGAATGTTACTCACAAGCTATGTTCAGTATACCTGTGCCTGGACCCCTGGTTCAGGAATGGGGTGGTCAGGGCCAGGGCCTGCAAGGAAGGACAGCCTGACTTAAGAGGGCCACATTCTCTTGAGTCTGAGGATGGGGCAAGGTGCAATAAGGAGGGGTGAGGCCAGCAGGATGCAGAGGGGAGGGACCTGGATTTGCCCACCAAGCAAGTGTCTTCAACACGGGAAGCGCATCTTAATCTGGATGAGGGTAGGGAGGTCTGGTGAGGAAGAGCAGAGCCCAGCCTGGTGAGGGGTCAGTGGGGGAGAGAGGATCCCCATACAGCCATACAGGGACCCACATACAAGGGGTGCATTGCTGGGTCCAAGGGCTCTGAGCCTGCCGCCCCCTGTGCTCCCCCTTCCAGTGCTGCAACCTGAGTGTGAGCGAGAGTCCTCGTGACCCTCTAGGGTTCAAGGTGGCCGATCTAACCATTCCCAAGCACAGGCACCTGCTCCAGGTGAGCAGAGGGGGGCGGAGTGGGCAGGGTTCCCTCCAGTCCCTAGAGCTTACACCTGACTCCCGACTCCACCCCCACCAACCCCCAGGCCAAGAACCAAGAAGAGAAGAAGCTGTGGATTCACTGTCTCCAGAGCCTCTTCCTGGAGAACCACCCCGCCTCCATCCCGGCCAAGGTGCAGTCCTGTCACAGATGGCAGCCGGCAGTGTGCCGGAGACACCTGCACCCCCCCGCAGTTTCAGAAGACCCTGAGTTCAGGGGACCCTCTTGGAACATGACAGTTAAGTTGTAGAGTAGGCTGTCTGGGTTTGAATCCCAGCTCTACCATGTCCCTGCTTTGTGACTTTGAGCAACCTCTCTGAGCTCAGTTCATTAACCAGGAGGGACAAGAGCATCGACCTCACAGGGTCGTGGTGAGGATTAATTGTTATCAGTCATGTAATATGCCTGTCACATAGCAGCACCCATTGTTGGGATTATGACTGGGATGCTCAGAGACCGGCCCATAACCCTCATCTTTGTGTCTTTCAGGCAAAACAAGTTCTTCTTGAAAGCAGCCTGTATTGTGAGTTTGGGCCTTGGGTTGGGAGGTGTGAAAGTAGAGGAATTACTTCCAAGAAAACGTAGACTATTAGCCACAAATCTCTCCCCACAGGTGCTCCGAAAAGTAAGCCTACTCCAGAGCCCGTGACACTCCCACTTGGGTCTCCCCGACCTCGAGATGCTAGAAGTTTTACCCCTGGACGGAGGAACACAGGTAAAGGGGATGGAACTCTGATTCGCACTCCCTGCGTTTCCCCCGGGACTCAGGATTGTACCCCCAGCCACTCCTCTCCCAGAAGCCCAGGGCTGGGCTCCTAATGAGGTTCTCATCTGCCTCTCCCACAGCCCCGTCTCCAGCCCCCTCCGCTACACGCCGTGGCCGCAGACAGTCTGGTGAGTTCCCCCCACCGAAAGGTCAACTAGGGATTGGGGTGGGAGCTGGGCCCCTAACATCAATGTGTCTTCTCCCCAGAGCCAGTGAAGGATCCATATGTCATGTTTCCACAGAACAGTAAGTGACTGCCCAGCCCAGCCAGGCTCAGCCTGGCCTGTCTGTGTCTTCCTGTGGGATGCCCCATGTTCATGGGGGAGGGTTGATCGGGCAGCCCATCGACCACAAGGAGTACCAGTTATTCCTGTATCTCACTCTTTTTCTCATCTCTCCATTCCCAGCTAAGCCTAGACTCAAGGTAAGCAATCTCTCGGGACAGGGTCTTCTTGGGACTCAGACTCGGGCCTGGTGAAGGAGGGAGCTTGAGTTCTAAACTCCAGAGTCTGAATAAGAAAGGGACTGGGGGATGGGTTCCTCCACCTGAGGGGTAAGGGGCTGGGGCCGCTTGCCCTCCATCCTTTTCTTCCTCGTAGCATGCTGGCAGCGATGGGGAGCTCTACCCTCCCTTAGAACCTCAGGTACGGGGTCCAGCTTCTGGACCCGTTGAAGACTTGGAGGACACTGGACCTCCCACGCTGGAGCCCTCTGGGACGTCAATCACTGAAGAAATCCTGGAACTGCTGAACCAAAGAGGCCTCCAGGATGGGGGGGTGAGCTGGGCATCCTGTCACCGTGTCCTTGGGCCTCTCCTCTTGGGCAGGCACAGATCAGGGACCAGGGCAGCCAACCCACTGTGATCTTTTGTCTCTTCCACAGTGCTCATTACAGCCACCCCCCCACGACATTCCCAAGTTCCCAGGAGACTCCCAGGTACCAGGTGATGGCGAAAGCTTTACATTTCCAGCCCTGCCCAACCAGGACTCTTCAGAAGAGGAGGAGGAAGAGCTGGAAATGGACGAACGGGGCCCTTCCCCACTCCATATCCTAGAGGGACTCGGAAGTTCCAGTGCAGCTGAAGTTCCTGACGTTCCTGGCCTTGCCAAAAATCCTGCTGTGCCCAGCCTCCCTGAAATGTCCAGACTTTCTGAAATTCCCCCAACTCCCTGCCTTCCCAGTCTCTCTGACATTTCCAGTGTTTTTGAAATGCCCTGCCTCCCAGCCATCCCCAGTGTCCCTGACATTGCTGGTCTGTCCAGCTCTGCTGCTTCCCTTCCCTGTGATGCCTGGCTGCAGGGCCCTCCACAGGAAGCGGGCGAGGCTCTAGCCACCAGGAGAGAACTGGTCTCTGGAGGCAGTTCTAGAGAACTGGGAGAGCCTTCCTCAGGCAGCAGAGCAGGGCAGGAGGAGGAGGAAGAAGAAGGGGTATCATTTCCAGATTTCCAGCCCCAGGATGGCACCCGAGATGAGGGATTCCAAGATGAGCTGGAATTCCGTTCTTGCTCAGAAATCCGGAGTGCCTGGCAGGCTCTGGAGCAGGGGCAGTTGGCCCGGCCAGGATTCCCAGAGCCGCTGCTGATTCTGGAAGATTCAGATCTGGGTAGAAGCAGCGGGAGTGGGAAGGCTGGAGTCCCCAGTGCGGAGCGGGCTGCGTCCCGCGTGCGAGAGCTGGCCCGGCTTTACAGTGAGCGGATCCAACAGATGCAGCGGGCTGAGACCCGGGCATCAGCTAATGCTCCCCACTGCCGCCGGTCACGGGCTCTGGCCCAGCCCCAGCTGTTCCCTTGCCTGCCCCAGGAGCAGGCTGAGCCAGGTAAGGTCCAGGTATGTGGTCAGCAGAGGTGGCTCACACTGAGATTCCAGTCCTGATTCAGTCCTTTCTTTGCATACAGGACCCCTGCCTGCCTTTGGACATGTACTGGTATGTGAGCTGGCCTTCCCGCTGACCATGGCCCAGGAATCTGTCCCTCTGGGCCCTGCTGCCCAGGTTCAAGCTGCTGCGCCCCTATCTAAACAGGCAGGCAGCCTGGGTGGCCAGGGTCTAGATGTTTCCAGTTTGCCTGAGCAAGACCATCAGGGCATCCAGATTCCAGCTGCTCCCACTTTGCCTGAGCAAGGCCTCAGGGTTCCAGCCACCACACCTTTGCCAAAGCAGGAAGACCTGCCACATGTCCAGGTTCCTACTGTTGCAGCTCCACCTGATCAAGAAGGCCACCTGGAAACACAAGTTCCGGTTACCAGCCCTTTGCCTGAGCATAGAGGCCACAAGGATACACAGCTTCCAGCTACCACCTTTTTCTGTCAGCAAGGATGCCAGATGGACACCCAAGTTCCAGCCACCCCAGCCTTGCCGAAGCAGGGAACTTGTTCTCACGTCACAGTTCTAGCCACCAGTCCTGTGCCCAAGCAAGAAGGCCACCTAGTCCGCCAGAGCCCAGACAACACCCCGTTAACTAAACAAGGAGGTTCCAGGGATGTTCAGTCCCCAGCCACTGCCTGCGGCCAAGTCATCAACCCTTTGCTTCCGCATGGAAGGAGTCTGGACCCTCAGATCCCAGCCAACAACACAATGCCCTTGGGACACGACCTCTCAGACGTTCAGCTTCCGGATACCTCACCTTTGCCTGCATGTGGAGGCCACCTAGACTGTCAGGTCCCAGCTGGTACTTCATTATCTTTGTCCCAGGACCTCCTAGACATTTGGGCTCCAGCTGCCACAGCTTCGCCCCAGCCCCAAGATGTCATGGACACAAGGGTCCAAGTATCCCTGCCTTTGCCCAAGGAGGGGGGTGTGCCAGACCCCCAGGGTTCCACCGCAGTCCCTTTGCTTCAGGAGCAAAGTCTCATAGACCTCCAGGTCCCAAAACCTACGCCTCTGTTGGAGCAGAAGGGCCTCCCAGACATCCATGTTCCCGTTGCCACACCTCTGCCTGAACAAGGCGGCTCTTGGGACACTCAAGGCCTGTCACCCACCCCTATTCAAACCACTGTGATTTTGTCCAAACCAGCAGGCCACTTAGTCTCTCATGTTGCCAGATCAGAGTCTTCAGACTTGACTCCACCTCACAGTCCCCCACCCCCAACCCGTCAGCTCCTAGGCCCCAATGCAGCTGCTCTGTCAAGATACCTGGCAGCCTCATACATCAGCCAGAGCCTAGCTCGGCGGCAAGGGCCTGGAGGAGAGGCACTCGCAACCTCCCGGGGGCCTTGGTCCTCTGCCCCCACGTCACGAGCACCTTCACCACCACCCCAGCCGCAGCCCCCACTGCCCCCGGCCAGGAAGCTCAGCTATGCCACCACGGTGAACATCCAAGTCGGGGGTGGCGGGCGGCTGCGGCCAGCCAAGGCCCAGGTCAGGTTGAACCACCCTACTCTGCTGTCCGCCACCCAGGAATCTGTGGGCCTTCGCAGACCCCAGGGGGCTCCTGATGCCCCTTTCCACATGTGAGCCAGGATATCGGGCCTCTTGAAAAGCAAGGACTTCAACCAAATGCTGCAGACTCTCAGAGCTTCACTTGGAAGTTCAGACACTGAACACAAGCCTAAAACTGCCACAGCTTTCCCCCTCCTGGGGTCTGCTTTGCCAAATGGTCCTTATTACTTACTCTGATTAACTCAACAGGGGTGGGGGAGGGGATGTCATTAATATTTTGTTAATGCTATGAAATCATGTCTCTTCCAATTCTGGAGATGGGGGAGGGGTAACAAGACAACAGTGAACGGGATGGGAAGGTCTGTCGCAGCACAACTCGGTTCTGACAATTTAGAGAATCTCATTCTTGAGATGTACTGGAAACGAGACCCATTACAAACCGGTGTATGATTTCAGAGGGTTTATGAACCACTTGATGCCCATCTAGAAAAGCCAAGTTAAGAAGCTTTGTTCCGAGGGGAAATTCATTCCCTTAGCAGTTCACCCAGTTCATGTGTCCCCCAACCGTCCATTTATCTCAGCCATGCAGCTGTCTCCATCTACCTCCTCTGTCTTCCAGTCCATCTCACCCATGCACCTGGGTTCCTCCATCTCCTTCCTCATCATCCTAGTGCCCCATCTAGTATTCATCTCTGTTAATCCCCTGACCCATCTCTCATCCCACCCGTCCATCTCCACCCAGCCCTTACCTGTCAGCTATATGTCTCTCCATGTGGCCATACATCTTATTCACACAGCCACCACCTAAGCCATCAAGGTGACCATCTCGACCACTTCCACCCTCAGTTGGAGTCTGCTGGGTCTTGGTAACTACAGAAATTCACAGACAGCTCCATGCTAACACCAGAATGGATCGTTTTGAGATTCTGAGAAAAGTCTGTCCCCCATCTGTCTGACTTCTCCCCACCCTCATGAATAGGCCATCCCACACACGTTTAGATCCCTTTCCCTGTCCTCTAGTTTGAGACCTTTACAAAGTTCCTCATGGTGCCCCCCACACACACACACACACAAATTTTGGGTCATAGAGACAGGCTTTTAGCTCAGGGTCCTTCTGTGCCCTCCCAGCTGTGGCATGCCCTGTGAGAAGCATAACTTAATCAGTCTCTTTGGTAATACTACCTTCTCTCACTGAACATTTAACCCCGTGTGCTCCAGCACTTTATCTTAACCTTCCCTGCAGTTCTAAGGCAGCAGTGTCATGGCTGAGTTCCAATCCCAGCTTCCTTGGTGTGTGACTGCCTTCTGATCCTGGGTTTTCTTGTGTGCAGTGAGGACAAAAGTACTGGTCTTATAAGATCACAGTGAAGAGTCAATGAGGGGGGGATCTTCAGTTCCCAAGTGTGTTTGAGCCTCTGGTGAACTGGCACACTGAATCACAGATGCTCCAGGATCCAGTTCAGTTTATGGAATCAGAACCTCCAAGGCAGGAACCTTAGGAATCTGAAGTTTCAGCAAACAGCAGCAGCAAAAAGCTGAGCTTTACTGGTAATAACGGCATGCCATGAGCATTAGTCACTTCATATGAACTCACTCACTTTGAGTCCTCACAATAGCCCTAAAAGGCAAGTGAAGACTTTAATCCCCACTTTAGAGATGAGGAAACTGAGGCAAAGATTGGGTGAGGGACTTGCCCAGTCACACAGGAAAGAGCAGAACTGGGACTCCGTCCGCATAGGCCAGGCCATCCGTACTCTTACTGGGTGTCAATCCTATGCCAGGCACTGTCCTTGCCACTGGGGGCACAAGGAACACTGCCCTACCCACTTGAGGCAGAGGCTGGTGCTCCAAGGGCCTTATACGTGATAAGGTAGCCAGGACAAGGCCTGGCTCAATAAATGTTAGCTGCTGGCTTCCGTTACGTTTGAGCGGTTGTCATGCCCTACAGCAGGGCCCGGGCCTGCTCCACTGCAGCCTCCCCAAGGTCAGGGTGGATGCTGGCCCTCCCCTCCTCCGCCCCAGCTGCACATTCCCAGCCACCCCCAGCTGTACATTCCCAGCTGAAGGAAAGTTCCCAGCCTGACTTGGGCTCCCAGCGGCGCCGGAATTCCCGGTATTTGAGGAGGCGTCAGGGAGGGAGAAAGGGGCTGTCTACTCCAAGGCCTGGAGCAGGGAAGGAGAAGCAAGTGCCCTAGCTCCTCCAGATGCATCCCAGCTGTGCCTCTGGGAAGAAGCCAGGAGCCTCAGTAAGGGGGGGGGGGGGGAAGGTCGCTGTTTCTGGGTCCTGTGGGAAAACCATGGGTACCAGGTTTGCCTTAGCCCCTCCTGGTGTCTACTCCTGAATTCTAGCTGTCCTGCCTGAAGAACTACCTCTGCTTCATAGCCCAGTCCCAAGGCCTCCTCAGAAATACCTTTCTTGTTTGTCTGCAGCCTGCCTGTTGTAAGCCCAGTCTTCAGAGCTGCAGCAAAATCTGGCTCAAAGAGGGAGGGGTGGGTGGGTTGGCTGCTGCGCTCCTTGGGAGGGCTAAGGTCAATGCCAGTCACCCTAACTCTAGTTCCCATGCAAAACTTGGTGAATGGCATTTTATTTTGCTACTAGCCTCATTTTTTCATCTGCTAACAAGACGTCACCTGCCTGCCACCAACTTCAAAGAGATATTGTGAAGATACATCCAACAATGCTTTGCCTAGTACCTAACTGGTGCTCATTTAACCCACTCAGCATCACCAAGGACATGACAGTCACGTGCCACATAAGGTTTCCGTCAATGGCGGACTGCACATAAATTGGTGGTCCTGTAAGATTATAAAGGAGCTGAAAGATTCCTATTGCTTGACGTAGCCTTTGTAATAGAGCACAACAGTCCTCAAACGCCGTTGTGTTACCATTACCTACAGTATTTGGTACAGTAATATGTCCTCTAGGTGTGTAGCTTAGGGACTGGGGGGAACAGAATTTGTCACCTCAAAATATGCCTATTTGGCATAACGTTTATTTTAGGCTGATAAATTTTAAGAAACAGCAGACATGGGAAAAGCTCTGAAAACCAAGAAGTTACTGTTTGCAAAGGACATTTACATTTTTAAGGGAGCCTTCCATTTGTAAGGGTTCTCCCTCACTGTACCAGGAAGAACAGGATGAACACATTGATGCACAAGACAGGGACTTAACAGTTAACCTCACCCTTGGTCACTGCTTTTTGGTAATCTCCCGTAACTCCAGCCCAACCAATGTATTTTGTCTCCAATTGTAAAAGGTATTAAGTGCACTCAATGATGTTCATGTAACAAAATTGCCTACCAACAGTTTCTCACTCAGAACTAGGCTGTGCATGACAACTTTGAAGGAAAACGTTCTCAGCTGTGCAGCCCAGCTTGGTAGCCACATAGGGCTGTTGGGTAGGGCAGAGAGACAAAAGGGCAACTGGACAGTAAATCTCAGTTTCTATTGTTATAAAAATTTAATTTCACCATTCAATCAACATTCTAATGCAGTAAAATGTTGCAAGTACTCCCAGCAGGGGGAATATAATGGGACTCCACCTGGCAGATGGCTGGGGTACCCAGGTTGGCTGTGAAGACTGGTATGGAAGCAGAGATGCCTTTCCCAGAGTGATGGAGCTCACTAGCTTCCAAAAAAACGGAAAAGAAAAACTAAAGGCAACTAATTCCACAAGTAACACCAAGTTGGCCCCTTGTATCTGCAGGTTTGAACTTCTCAACATGGAATTCTGCACTGGAGGTGGAGGGCTAAGGGACTCGACCATCCCTGGATCTTGGTTATCACGGGCGTTCCTGCGCATCCCACAGAAATTCCCTCCATGGTGGAAATGTTCTGTCACATGCTGTGGCCCAATGGTAGCAGCTGAGAGCCCACCACATGTTAGCTTTTACTACACAGCAGGCACACCATCTAAGTTCTCAGAGCCATGTTCTGAGCCCCATTAGGACGATTACAAAGCTGGGACTTGCTTTAAGGATGCCACAGGGAACCTCTCCCCAGAACATAGCGTTGATGCTCTGGATGAAGCCAATCAAGGGGAATCCACCCTGCTCCCCGACCCTGTGGGCCTCATGGCCCTCAGTTGCTGACTTCAGACTCCACCCACCCAGTTTTTCCTTTCTTTGTATTAAATATTACCAATAGTACACATTTCCCCTGCTTTTCCCAGTAATGCAATTTAAACAGCAGCAAAGAAACTGAAAAAGATAAAACGAACGCATAAGGATACCCTACTCAATCAGTGGCCCATCCTGGCTGTGCCCACAAAATGAACTCCACTACAGGTGCAGGGAGAGACCAGGTCTGCTCCCACCTGCCTTCCCACCCACACTAAACCCAGAGTGGTGGCTTCTGGCTTAAAATCCGGACTAGCAGTGGGTTCAACACATTTCCTTTATTTCTTTTTGCCAAAGACCCACCACAAAAGATAACACAATCCATGAAACCTTAAAACCCAGGACCATTGTTTATTATAAAGATGAACTCTGATGGGCTTATCGGTAGGATTTCTGGTAGCGAGCCCGGGCACCAGGACCTCCAAACTTTTTGGATTCGCAGCGACGGGGATCAGCTACCAGCAGGGTCCGGTCATACTGGATGAGGATGTCTTTGATCTCCTTCTTGGAAGCCTCATCCACATCTGGAGATGAGAAATGGGGAAAGATTTAGATAGCTACAGAAGTGTAAACCTACTCTCTGAAGCTAAACGAATGCCAGAGCTGGTCCTTGATTTGCCCCCCCGCCCCGCACCCACCCGTTGGGAAGGACCCATTCCTACTCACATTTCTGGTAATAGGCCACCAGGGCTTTGGAGATGGACTGGCGGATTGCTGTGAGGAAAACATAAAAAAGGGCGTATCAGTCTCGTGACGGTCCAAGGGAAGGAAGGGCCTTGCTCTCAGAGCCACCTCCCACTCATGTGTCCAGTTCCTGGGACTCACCATAAATCTGGGCCACATGACCACCACCCTTCACGCGGACTCGGATGTCCACGCCAGCAAATCGCTCCTTCCCCAGAAGCAGAACAGGTTCCAGGAGCTAAGGAACGGGGGCGCAATAGGGTTTAGATCACAGCCCGGGCAGCTGAGTCACCTGAGTATCCTTCTTACCTCTCACCAAGTAGCTTCTGCCAACACTGACCTCAAAAGTACTACTGGAAGAGGGTTGCGCTGTCATTACAAGGCCCTCTTACACAGCCAGGAGCAAGAAAGATTCAAAGACAGATGTGACTGCTCAAGGCAACCCAGGCTGGGGTCCCTCCCTGGGCCTGATCACCCATCTCAGACTGGTTCTTAGACTCCTGGCACTTGAGCTCAATAGTAAGGAAGCTTTGCAGCTCCCAAAGCTGCCTCTAACTGTGAAACACTTTTGGGTTCCGTCAGGTCCCTTTTCTGGGTTCCCCACCTGAGCTCTCCATCCTCCCTTTAAGCCTCACAGATGTCCAGAGACATTACCACCACACTATAACCCAAGCCATGCTCTCACCTTGCCAGCTATAGGCCTTCTGCATGTCCCTGGACACTTGTTTTACCTACTTTAAACCTCAGCTCACAAGTCCCCATGCCTTCAAAGTCTGCCCTGACCCTCCACTCAGATAGCAGAAGCCTTGCCTGGGCTCCCCCATCTCAGCTCCAACTACTCTGGAGCAATGCCTGGCATTGGATCCATTCTGTCTCCCTCTGTGAGGGCAGGGCCTGGGGCCATCTGGGTCACTGCTATGTCTCCAACACTCACAGACTGTGCAAACAACGCCTTCAAATATACTGACAATAAGAATGAGCGGCGATACTCAATGTCTGTTATACCAAGGACCTCAGATCCTCCATTATTAAATTCTAACCAACCCTGAAATTTAAAAGTAAGACTTGCTTTGTCCGGGTAGCTCAGTTGGTTAGTGGCATCTCAA